TGGAACAGGGGGATCTCTGCGGGTACAGGGGTCAGTGGCTCCGCCCCTAATTAAGCCCTGCCCCTAATTAATCCCACCCGACTAAGCCCCGCCCTCACCGATCTTGACGGGGAAGCCGGGGGGCAGCTTGAGCGTGATGAAGTCGCGCAGTTTGGCGAAGTGGGCGTTGGAGATGGCCATGAGGTCGATGATGGGCGTCACCTGCTCCGCCAGCGACAGCGGGTGCTGCTCGCACAGCCACAGCGTCGCCTTGAACCTGCCCGGGCACCGCCATGGGCACGGGGACCCGCCGGGGACACCGCCCCCGCTCACCGGCACTGCCCCGGGGACACTGCCCCGGGACCGCGGTACCGCCCCCGGGGGGACACACCCGGAGCCGCGGCCCCTGGGACCCTGTCACCACCCTCATGGATCCTGACATCCAGTGCCACCTCCCCTGGGACCCTGTCATGGGTTCTAACACCGAGTGCCACATCCTAGGGGTCCATGTCACCGCCCCCAGGGGTCCTGACACCCACTGTCATGTCCCCCAGGATCTTGTTACCACTCCAGTGTCACAGCCCCTGGGACGTTTCACCACCCCTATGGGCCCTGACACCTGTGCCACATCCCTGGGACCCCATCATCACCCCATGGGCCCTGACACCCAGTGCCACATCCCCGGGACCCCATTACGGGTCCTGACACTCCATGCCACAGCCTCTGGGACCCTGTCAGCACCCCAGGGGTCATGGCCCCTGGGACAGTGCCACCACCCCTCTGCCACATACCCCAGGACCCTGTTACCACCCCATAGGTCCTGACACCCGGTGTCATGTCCATGGGATCCTGTCACCACCCTGTGGGTCCTGACACCCACTGCCATGTCCCCGTGACCCCCATCCCCCCGGGACAGTGGCCTCACCTCTGGACCTTGCTGGACATCTCGATGGGGCGCCCGATGTTGCGGGTCTCGAGGTCGAAGTGGGGGTCGAAGTACTCCTCAGGGGTGATGGCTGTGGGGTTGGTGGGGCTGGCAGCCTGCAGCACGGGCGCCTGTGGGGACACTACCACTGCTCAGCCCCCCCGGGACCACCAGCCCCCTTTGGGGACCCCCAGTCTCCCCAGGAACCCCCCTGGCCCGGTCACTCACCCCGTTGTGGGTGCTGTGCTGCTGTGCGATGCCCAGGAAGGAGTGGAAGGGGGTCTTGGAGCCTGGGAGGAGAGAGGGGTGCAGGGGTGCAGTGTGGGCAGTGGGGGGGCACCCCCAGGGCTGCCCAGGCTGTCACCAGTCACACCCTGCATGGGGTGCCACACCTGATGGGTGACACCACACACAGTGTCCCACGCCTGGCACGTCACACTCCACACCCAGAGTGTCCCACACCTGATATGTCACCCCCCCACACCCACAGTGTCCCGCTCCTGACAGATGATACCCTGCACCATGGTGTCCCACGCCTGGTGTCCTACACACTGTCCTGTGCCTGATGGGTGACACCCCATGCTCATGGGGTCCCACACCTGTCACATGTCACCCCAGCCCCCCAGGTGTCCCACACCTGACTGGTGACACCCCACGTGCTGTCCCATGGCTGACATGTTACACTGCACACCCACAGTGTCTTGGGTGACATCCTACACACTGCCTCGTGCCTGATGGGTGACACCCCGTGCTCAGGATGACCCACACCTGTCACACCGTCACACCCAGCACCCAGTGTCCCACACCTATCACGTGTCACACTCCACACACTGTCCCATGCCTGGGGGACACCTGTCCCACACCCAGTGTCCCACACTTGACACACGTCCCACCCTGGAAGGGAGCGGGCTTTGCACAGGAGTGGGCACGTCCCCGCGGCACGCAGGCCCCCGACTGGCTGGTGGGGCTGTCACCTTTACTGCGTGACTTGTCCTGGTCCGAGAGATGCTCCGTCCTGGTCTTGGTGACCAGCTCCACGTTACTGGCACTGTACACCTGAGGGGGTGACACCATCAGCCCCCTGTGCTCCGGGGTGCCCCAATGTCCCCCTCCATTCTCCGTGCCCACCTTGGCCTCGTAGCCGCTGACCACCTCCATCTTCTCCGAGCGCCAGCCCCAGATCCCAGACTTGTTCCTGGGAGGGTGGAAGGTGTCAGGTCCCCATGGGGGGGTCCCCACAGCCGCTCACCCTCTTCTTGCATAAGCATTTCCTTCCCCTCCACACGTGCTTCCCCCTGCAACAGCCCCTTCCCGCCGAGTGTCACCACCTCCAGCCACGCCAGGGTGCCATCCTCGCCCTTCCCACCTCTCGAAGGCGATATTCCGGGTGTCCAGGTGCGTGGAGACGATGGGGGAGGTGAGCCTGCCGGCCACGTGCTCCTCTGTGGGCTGCATGGCTGCCAGCAGCAGGTCGGGCTCGTGCAGGGCCAGCGCCAGTGTCTCCGTGTACACCACCTGCTTGTCGTGGTCCACCTCCATCACCACGGCCCCTTCGTCTGTGGGAGACACCAGGGGGGTCAGAACACAGCCCCCCGTGGCACCCTGACACCCCTCAGCATGGAGATCTTAGGGTTCTGGGGGAACTGGGGGTCCCTGGTGTGTGTAGGGGCTGAGGTGGTCCCCTCAGGAGGAGGGAATTGGGGTCCCCATGGAGTCACTACAGGGGATCTAGGGGAATTGGAGGTTCCTGGTACATATAGGGGCTGAGGTGTTCCCCTCATGAACAGGGAAATGGGGCCCTCATGGAGCCACTATAGGGAATCTGGGGGAACTGGGGGTCTCTGCGGGAGACTGGGGTCCCTGGTATATGCAGCGGCTGAGATGGTCCCCTCAGGAAAGAGGAATTGGAGTCCCCAAGGGGTACCTGTAGGGGATATGGGGGGATTGGGGTTTCCTGGTACATATAGTGGCTGAAGTGGTCCCCTCAGGAACAAGGAAATGGGGTCCCCATGGAGTCATTATAGGGGATCTGTGAGTATTGGAGGTCCCTACAGGGGACTGAGGTCCCTGGTATGTGTGGAGGGCCTGAGGTGGTCCCCTCAGGAAGGAGGAACTGGGGTCCCAGGGGGTCGCTATAGGGGATCTGGGGTCCTTAAAGGGGAGTACTTATAATGCAGGGGTCTTGGGGAGGCATCTGGAGGGTTCATGAGTGTATCTGGGATCCAAGGGGGTACCTATAGGTAATCTGGGAGGTTCTTTGGTGGTATTTATGGTGCAGGGGGTCTGGGGGATCCCCAGGGCAACTGGAGGGTCCCTCAGCATACCCAGAGTCCCTACAGGGGATCTGGGTTACTTACAGGAGTGTACTTATAGAGTAGGGGGTCTGGGGGGCTCCCCAGGTGACTGGAGGTTCCCAAGAGGTCCTTATGGGGATGTACTTTTAGTGTAGGGGTTTCTGGGGGCTCCCCAGAGGGACTGGAGGGTTCCAGGGTTTATCCAGTGCCCCAGGGGGTCCGGATAGGTCCTTACAGGGGTGTACCTATAGTCAGGGGGTCTGGATAGGTCCTTACAGGGGTGTACCTATAGTCAAGGGGGTCTGGTGGAGTGACTAGAGTGTGTCTGGGTCCCAGGGGTTCCCTATAGGGGATCTGGGGTCTTTATGGGGATGGACATATAGTGCGGAGGTGTGGGGGATCCCCAGGGTGACAGGACGGTCCCAGGGGGTCCCGGAGCAGGGGGTTGGAGCTGACCTTCCCCCTTGAAGATGTAGCTGCGGCGGCCGCGCTGCCACGTCATGTGCTCGAAGCCCAGCAGGGTGGTGTCCACCCGCAGGCTCTCGCCGCGCTTCCACACGCGGTACACGTCACTGGGACACACCTTGGACACCAGCGGCACTGCGGGCACGGGGACCCCCTCAGTGACACGCCTGGGGGGCTCCACAGGACACCCCACAGCCCCTCACCCCACAGAGCCCGGCCACGCTCACCCCAGCTGGTGAACTCCCACTTCATCTCCACGTAGAAGTCGGACGCCTGGAAGGGATGAGGAGCATGATGAGCTTGGGGGGGGGTCCCTGCTGGGGTCCACTGGGAAATCCTGGGGGCAGGGATTGGGGTCCCTATAGGTGGAGATATGGGGATCTGGGAGAGTGGAGTCATGGGTGGGGGTCCACGGGGAAGGATAAGCAAGGGGAAAAGGATAAACACAGGATCCCCAGGCAAAGAGTGGGGTCAGTGGGGGGTTCTGGGGAGAACTGGGGGTCCCTGCTGGGGTTACTGGGGAGGTGGGGACTCCTGGGATCAGGGACTGAAGTTCCTATTTGGGTCCTAGGTAGGGATATGGGGATCAGGGAGGGTGGGGTCATAGGTGAGATTCACAGGGATGGATAAGCAGGGGCCCAGGGAACAGAGTGGGGTACACCAAGTACGGGAGTTTCTAGCAATCGACCTTTGGGGGGTCCTTGCTGAGGTCACTGGGGAGGTGGGGAGTCCTGAGGGAAGGGATGGGGGTCCCTACTTAGGCCTCGGGTGGGATCAGAGCGGGGTCTTTGGCGGAGGCCAAACAGGGGATCCCCAGGGAAGAAGTGGGGTCAATGGGGAGTTCTGGGAAGACTTGGGAGGTCCCTTCTGGGCAGTGGGGAGTCTGTGGGGCAGGGATAGGTGTCCTTACTGGGGTCCTGGGTGGGGATAAGGGCAACCTAGAAGAGTGGGGTCATGGGTAGGGGTCCCCAGGGAAAGAATGGGGTCAATGGGGGTTCCTGGGGAGGTTTGGGGGTGCAGAGGCCGTGGTGGGCTCCGTACCCGCCGGAGCTTGCTGAGCAGCTCGGGGATGCCGGCGAGCCGCCGCGTTGCCCGCTGGTAGTCGCGGTACTGGAGCACCAGCTGCACCATCTCGGGGTCCCCCGTGCTCACGGCCTCCTGCAGCACTTGGGGGTCACAGGGCAGGGTCACCCGGGGGCCGCTGTGGCGGTGTCCCCGTGTCCCCACGGCACCACGGTGCCCCCGTACCCGTCCATCCGTTGGCGTTCTCCCGGCCCACGTTGGCGTTGTGCCGCAGCAGCACCCGCACCGACTCCAGGTGGCCCAGGGACACGGCCAGTTCCAGGGGCGTCCGGCCACGGGGGTCCGTCAGCTCCACATCGTGCTGAAAGGGTGGCGGGTCACTGCCCCCTGGGCACCCCGTGCCACCCAGTGACCCCCAATACTTCCCCTGCATGCCCCATGCTCCAAAAGCCTAGTGCTCCCAGTTCCCCCCCCAACTCCAGTGCTCCCAGCCCGTCTTCTCCCAGTGTCCTCCATTTCCCAGCCCCTCTTCTCCCAGTGTCACAGAGCCTCCCCCAAGTCTCCCTATATCCCAGTGGTGCTATCCCAGTGCTCCCAGTAGCTTCCTGACCCCTGGTGCTACAGTACCTTATTATCCCACTGTCACCAGTCCTACCAGTGCCACCAGTTCTTCCAGTGCTCTCAGTCCCCTGTGTCCTAGTCTCCCTTAGTACTCCCCTTCCCCCCTAGTGCTTCCAGTCTTCCTCCAGCACTCCCAGTCTCCCCAGTCTCCCCTCATGCTCCCAGTGGTCTCTCCCACCCAGTGCTGCCAGTCCCCCACGTTGCCAGTCTTCCCAGTCTCCCCCAGTGCTCCCAGCCTCCCCCCAATGCTCCCAGTCCTTCCAATCCCCTGTACCCCCAGTCTCCCCTAGTGCTTCCAGTCCCCCTGCAATGCTCCCAGTCCCCTCCCAAGTGGTCCCAGTCCTCCCAGTGTCCTGTGCCCCCAGCCTTCCCTAGTGCTCCCAGTCTCCCTCCAGTGCTCCCAGTCCTTATAGTACCAACCCCCCCAGTGCTTCTAGTTTCCCCCAGTCCTGTAAGTCCTCCCAGAGCTCCCAGTCCCATATACCCTCAGTTCCCCCAGTTCCCTGTACCCCCTCTCCCCTAGTGCTTCCAGTCCCCCTGTAATGCTGCCAGTCCTCCCAGTATTCCCAGTCTCCCCCAGTGCTCCCAGTCCTCCCCACAGCCTGTACCCCCAGTCTCCCCTAGTGCTCCCAGTCCTTCCAGTGCCTTCTGCCCCCAGTCTTCCCTACTGCTCCCAGTTTCCCTCCAGTCCTTCCAGTACCCCTCCCACACTGCTCCCAATTTCTCCCAGTGCTTCCAGTCCCCGTGGTGCTCCCAGTCCTCCCAACAGCCTGTATCCCCAATCTCCCCTAGTGCTTCCAGTCTGCTACCCATGCTCCCAGTCTTCCCTACTACTCCCAGTCCCCCCTAGTC